GCTTACAATACTTTTCTTATTCTATCTGAGTGAAACTAAGTTTTTCTGCATGACGATGCAGATGTCAGACTTATCAATGATACTTGATGATTTATTTGACTGCACAATTAAACGTAAGCAGAATGTTACTCCGACTGCTACAGCTCAACCTACTTATTTATTCGTTATGTGCAAACTTAATTTTACAGTATACGTTAACACCCGTTATCATAGGGACTGCCATAACGCTTTAATTTAAATATTAGTAATACACTGATTTGGAATACACCTAACCGTATACGAACTGGAACTGCAATGCAGTGCCAAAGTTCTACCTATTGTTGTCATTGTTCCCTACAGACTTGCGTATGACTATGAGACGTTTCCACGTAACTGTAGACAGAGACTTAAGGGCCACTAAACTACTTATAATTCACCACGCATATCGGTCGATAGTGTTCCTACAGAATTACACTTAAGTATAGTAACGAGTTCAAGTCCTAGGGAGCACCGGTCTAGCATGCCGTGCTCACAAAGCGAATACATGAATTGAAAGACAACAAGATTTATATGAAAAGTTCATATTTATTATAATACAACATTAGTTTGTTTACATATTAAGAAAATGGTCCATTTGTGCGATCACTTCTCCCGCTTTCAGATGCGCACGAGTTGCGAGACCATGTCCATCGTTGACACTTATGCAGCACATTATTAACTACAAAAGGTGGAACAGTAAACAAAAATAGAATTATGCACACAATATTACAGGATAAATAATGCTCTCACTCGCATTGGCTACCTGCAATAAACTAAAAAGGCTTTGTCAATTAGTATCCATCTGTCTCACGACTGTTTCAATATAATTCCGTAGAAAAAGCAACATTGAAATACATCACTGAGCAATATCCACCGATAAAATGCTACACGTATAACCTAAAATCGAGAAAAGCCAAAGAACTCACGGGTTCCTTGACATCGCCAGCAACCGATAGGCCAACAAACCGAGTGTATGATAAGCCAAGCCTTGTACATGCACAAATGAGTAAAAGAAAACGTTAGAATACTCAAATTTTACATTTATTTTCATCAAATATGCTTGTAAACAACGCATACCTCAAGCACACAAACCTGCAACGACATCACCTAACAAGGACAGATTAAATATCAAATTAGCCACCACTGTTCCAGCCAATGAAAGACGAGAAAACCTGAGGCGCGGGAAAATTAACACGTCATAGCCTATATCCTCACCCTTCAATCGTGTACAAGCTGGAAGAAGAGGCTATGGATAAAGGCACACACACAGGGTGTCATTGTGTGTTATCGCGATGTTGTGTTTGAGTTGTTCTACGTTGTTTTCAGGTGTTTTTTTCAACTGAAATACATTGTAAATGCCATATTTCAACGAAAAAACTTAGAAAAATGGTGGAAAGTAGACTTTTCTCAGCAGTTTGAGTGAACATGTATTTGCCATGGAATTTCGTCGTCTCTTTGCATGTGGAATGTTAAAATTCTGTGTAAATTGTTGATTACGTTAAGAAAAACGAAATAAATTACGTAAATGAAGTATATTTTGCGAAATTCTGAGGTGGTGTTTTGAATTTCTGAGTTCTGAAAACTTGGTAGCAGTCAGAAGAGTTTACAGCTATAAAGGAGTGTAAGTTGATTTATTCGGAACATAACACAGAAGACACAAAGTTTTTACTAAGATGTCCTTTGCTTTTTAACAATTTTGTGTTGGTAATTATTTGCTAACAGAAGTATCACTGTTGTTTTTCAGGTTACAATTGTAATTTACGTGATGGTTCACTTGATTTGGAAGCTTTGATGAAGTACAATTGAAGAATTTTCGTGTTAACGTTGGAATCGTTGTGATGTTATGAAATCGTTCATTAAAATAAATATTTCTTAAAAGTTTTCACGGTATTCTTGTACTACTACTTCGTTTTGCTTGTCGAAGGAATAGTGATATAGCTATTTTTAGAATGCGTAATGATTTACTACGAAAGAATGATAATTTGCGCAGTATAAGAATACTAGGATAATTATCTTTAATAGGATATACCTATAATACGTTATTTTCGATGTACGTAGTCGTCCTACATTTGTTATTATGCATATGTAGTGATCGCATAACAAACATAAGCTCAACGTATAATTTTTCGGTAGCCCTGATGAAAGATAATCATTTACATAGTCTGATTTAGTAAAACTTAACTTTTGCACGCACATAAGGAGTAATAACGGTCTACGACTTTGACAGTACTTTACAAAATGGTTACTATATTTCGTTATTACAATACAAACACATGTTTGACTCTTTTCTTCTTAGCACTAATGCACAGTGTTAAAAGCCTAGAGAAACACTTAAAATATTGTAAGACACACAGGCTCGTTGTGTTAATGAGGATAACAATTCCATACAATTCAACCTAGATATCCAGTCGTGATACTGCATATGAACTCCTTCATATAAGTGGAAATTTCAGCAGAAATTCATCTCCATTATTGATGATCAAAAAGATTGCAGCACTAGGTTTACAGTTTTAGTGAGAGTGGTTTAAGAGACAGTAGACTGACAGTGGTAGAGCTGACTAGATCCAGTTCTCATAATCAACACAATCTATGTGTATAATAATGCTATGCACGGAATTAAAGCACTAAGTGAAGTAGTGAGGGAAATTAAACGAGTGATTGCCTTCTCCACTGCACTGCACTTGTAACAATCCACCTACATTTCTTAGCCTAGCAGTCAGCTAAGCAGACAGTGGCACAATATTAATAAATTAGGCATATATTTTAAACATTGAATCCACATAACCCATATAACAGTGCACCAATCAGAGTAAATATATTTTAAATCCACTTATAGATACATTATAAATTATTTAAATTAATCCCAGCGTGTTAAGAAAATCAAAACAAGATTTTTCTGAACGTTTCGCTGTGTAAGCCGCAGCTTCTTCAGCAGATTTATTCGGATTTCTATTAATCATCAAAATTAAAATAATTTATAATGAATCAATTTGACTCGGCGCTTAAATTATTCCAGGAAGTTCGTAACACCTACGGCCTGGAAACCTATAATCCACTTATAGATAGCCTTTCAAATTACGATAGTTCCTGTGCAAAAACACACATACGGTGAAAGACACATTTACATGATTAATTCTGTTCCCACAGAAGGTTCTGTTAGCATTTATAGGTGATTTCCATGTACTGATAACATTCTTTTGTCAAACACCTCTGTTCTTTACACGGAAATAGGCTACGTTGAAATCCAGAGACTTGAAGTCTTCATTGAATCACGGTATGCCTAGGCTAGCAACCCTAACCTGTAAACAAAGCGGTTACAGAATATTCAGTACGATGAGTCTCCTTATGATAAAAAAGTATTTGTGGGGATATGGGACATCCACACCATTCGTGAGACTAGCAAAGCTGTACAGACTGTAAATGAGATGAACAGATGTGGTATTCAAGTACTAAAATCCTGCGACAGCAGATGGAATGGGAGTGGACTCACGGAATTGTCGATGGGAGAGTCAGTGATCTCCTCTGGTCACCCAGAAGGCAACCACAACTTCGACCGGAACAGACTCAATTCAGGGGAAGTAAGTCACGTATCAATCAGATCGCAACACTAAGGATCATCATTAAAGACCTTGGAATCGCATTCAGCTCTCTATCTCAACTCCATTGGCTTTGATGAGGCCTTTGACAGCGTCGACTGAGGGGTGATTTGAAAACTCTTTCGCTACTACTGGATGCCGCCAACAATTATGCATCTCATCCAACAGTTGTACGACATTGCTGCATGCCAAGTAATCCACAACGGGAAACTCACGGAATCCTTTGAAGTGAAGGCGGGAGCGAGACAAGGCTACATGCTATCTCCGGTGATTTTCATGATTGTGGTAAACCGGATAATGGAACAGATAGCGGACAACGCAAGAGACAGGGATAAAATGGACCCATACGAAAAACCTGAAGGATCTTGATTTCGCCGATGATATGTCTGATTTCCTACAAACTGGAAGATGTGCAAGTGGAAAACAACAGGTTGGCAGAAGAAGCATCAAAGATAGGATTTCGGTTGAACATAGAGAAAACAGAGGTGGTGAACATTCCTGGCCAACAGCAACAGAGAAAACAACAGACAACAATCAGCGTAAATGGGAGGAATCTGAAAGAAGCCAACTTCGTTACCTACCTACCTGAGAAGCATCGTCTCAACTACAGGTAGGACTGATGAGGAAATCAAAGCGAGGACCAGGAAAGCAAGGCAAGCTTTCATTACTCGCAAGTCTGTGTGGAGATCAGCAGCACTCAGCATGAAAAATAAGGTGCTGTCTTCGCTCAATGCTCAAGACCAGATAGCCAGAAAAGATCAGCAACAGGGATCTCTGGGAGCGAACCAACGGGGAAATGATTGTACAAAAAATATGCGGGAAAAAATGGAGGTGGATTGGACATACTCTGAGAAAACAAAATATCAAGTGACATCACACATCAGGCAATCGGCCGAGTGGAACCCGACCGAATGATAAGCGGAGAGGTGGTCGTCAGTGTGAGGGTGATATGGAGGAGGTCATGTGAAGAGGAGATGAAAGCATGTGGGGAGATGTGAAACCAGGTGAAAACGTTGGAAGAGAAGCAAACGCAATGGAGACGTGCGGCTGAAACCCTGTGTTCCTCTAGGAATTATAGGAAACAATAATAACGATAATAATGCCGAAAGGTGCGGCTTCTGCGTAAACTTGACTATTTGTGTAGATTACATTACCCTCCTACTATCTTATCCTGATCATTTTAGCAATATTTTGATACAGTGTGCCTGAAACACTGATCATTGCAACTTATATGTTAACAGCGTGCCTCAGTGGGACCACGTGACGCGGACCCCAACATGACCATTCAGGAAATGAGAATTCCCTTCAATCCAGAAAACATAACACACTTTTATTAAAATTTTATTGACAAAAAATTTGCCAAGCGAAAATTCAGCCAACGTGACGGATCAGTCCAGCCTCCGCTGGGGCTCGCTTGATAAATAACGCGGGGAATTAAAGTTTAACGCCACCCACTTGATTTGTGGTAATGGTAGCTGAAATGAATGGATATGGCGAGAAGACTGTCAGCTTTGCGGGTCGTACACTCAAGCTGGACAAAGCTTCTGATGCAAATGATATTGTTTCTACATTATCTTCCAACTTGGACGCTGTGTGCTTAAATCTCAGCGGTAATACACTTGGAATTGAGGCTGCTAAACCTATTGGTATCGCTCTGGAAAAAAATCGCATCATCAAGCGTTGCTTATTCAACGACCTATTTACGGGTATGTATATTTAGTAGTGCATAATTTGTTTCCCTAGTTAGAATATTATCTGTAACAGACCTGTTATACCTATCGATAGATGTAATTAATCATTTCTAGTGAAGCGTATTTATTAAGGCCTTAAGGAACCTCTTACTTCTCAGGGTTTACTTGACGCTTTGAAATAGTAAAAGTGTAAAAAGCATTATTTATTATTCTGCATAATGTTGGTATGTAATGGAACTAATTCTCTTTTTTATTCGTGTCATAATTTTCAATGTTTCTATGTAACTTTACCACCTCTATACACTCACTGGGAAGAAAATGCTTACATGTCATAGTTTATTTCTTGAATTACATCAGCACCCCATCGGGTCATAGATATGTCGACTGGTTAGCGGCCAATGAACCGAGCATTGACTATTATCTACATCTTCTCATGTACTGATAGGTCAGTTTCACATCAAAATGTTGATCAACTAAAACCAAGCAAACACTTTCAAAACCGAGAATGAAACAAAACTAGAACTTTTTCATTATGAAGTGCCTAATTCTATTTCATTTGACATATTTAGCCATAAGTCTCACTTTCGAATGAGATTCAAAATGTCTGCAGTTCTAAACTTCACTCGGCAATAATTCAAGCCCCCACGTTTATTTTTTTGCTGTAATTAGCTATCCTGGTATTTCCCACAGCAGTTAACTTTCGACTTCCAGTTAAGTAGTCTCCCAATTCATATCCTCTTGAGTGTTTTTATCACTGCCAAATTGTAATATTACTTTAGCGCCCGAGAAGTATCATAGCTCTCACATCAAATTGCAATAAAATTAGTGAGAATTAGAAGTTTAGATTCTGAATTTGTGGAGATATGACCAGTTTCAATGTGAATTCCCTTACTGTTGATATTGAATAAAGATGACAATATATCGCTAATGGAAAAACTAGAATTCCCAGGCCACTGAGTTACAACTCAGTGGCAAGAGTAGCCACGCCAAACTTACGTAGCACCCAACACCTCCCTGAATAGGATATAAACACAGGTCCTCCGTCCCTAACTGAAGTTACTAAGGCTGTCACTAGTCTGAAACGAGGCAAAGCAGCAGGACCTGATAGAATGACTCCAGAGGTGTTTAAGGGTGGTGAAGACAGTTTACTGTCTGCGTTAACTAAGGTATTAGGCAGCGTCTGCGAATCAGAGGCAGTCCCGTTGGACTGGTGTAAGTCATTGATTATCCCGATATACAAGAAGGGAGACAAATCTTCCTGTGATAATCATAGGAGGATTAGCCTGGTCAATATGGTGTCTCAAGTTCTGTGCTCAGTTATCATGCGCAGACTAAGCGGTGCTTGGAAGGAACAAACACGAGACAACCAGGCAGCCTTTAAACCACGAAAAAGTGCTTTGATCATATCTTCAACATCCGATAGATTCTGGAACATAGACATACTTACCGGTCTTCAGCAATCGTCAGATTTCTTGGCCTGAAAGCAGCATTCGTTTCCATCGACCGAGATGTACTATGGTGATGTATGGCTGTGAAGGGAATGCCGAGAAAATACATTGCACTGATCAAGGTATTCTACTCGAACTCATGCAGTCAGCTAGGTGAGAGCCTACAGAGAGTTGTCATCTGAAGTGGTAACAACCAGTGGTGTTCGTCAGGGATACCCACTCTCCCCATTTCTGTTTAATTTCATCATAGATATCGTAATACTGGACTTAACCCTAACTGACTTCAGAGACATGATATGTTTACTGTCTCTAATACGCATTTCTCCTACTTTCTTCTCTTGCTTTGTGTGCTACATGGAGTGTGGTGACTTGAACTGCCGCACATATGTGCAAAGTTCTATATCGAAAACAGACATGATATCCGACCTGCTGCCGACCAAAGGACGTGTGCACTGTTCAGCAGTTGACTCTGTCCTCCTTTACGGCCGGCTGTGAGTGACATGACAACGGAAAGTGGAAGATATGTAAAGCCTGGCTAGCTGTCTTTGATCATAGGTGCCTGCGTTCTATCTCCTGTGTTAGGTGGTGGTATGATAAGGTGAGCAATATTGAGGTTAGGCATCGGTCAGGTGCTAGGAAAGAAGGGGGAATCAGTCAACAAGTTGTAAAGTTACACCTATTGAGGTGGTCAGGATGTGTTACGCATGCCTAGCCTAGCCGCCGTCTTCCTCGACGAGCAGTGTTAGCTGACTGACATAAGATGAAGTTGAAAAGGAGCTAGTGGTGATCAAACCAAAACATGGCTTTATTGTTCAATGAAATCCACAACAGTTAGTTTAAGCCAGCCAGTCACGTAGGGAAGTGTAGACTGCTAGGCTGGATGGGGTCGTCAGGTTGGTAAAAACCAATGAAGGCTGGAGACAATCGGTGATATGGCTCAAAGTCGTCCTTAATAGGACAGATGCATCCACTCCTTGTAATTTATAATATATATTTAAATTCGATTGTTCCTCCATATTACTGTTCTTTTTGCCTAACACTTCTGTGTATTACCCCTCTTTTGAATCTGTCTACTCTTCTCTTGCTTTGTGTGCTACAAGGAGGGGAGTGTGGCAACTGCTGCATATTTGTGCAAAGTTCTACGTTGAAACCAATCAGTCAGTTACTTAGTGGCAGAATAGTGACGCGTTCGCGTGTGTTGTCGGTTGAGATCCTGGCGACTTCATAGGTGGAGGTTGCTGGTTCGTCCCAGAGTGGAAAAAAATAGATTCTCAGTGCACCATTTGCCTTCTCTATTCCTTTAACTGGTGTCTCTGCTGACGAAATTAACATTAGAATTTCAATTGTTAGGTATAATCTTCGAAATCCCTAAATTTTTCATTTCAAACTTCATCATTTATTTGGATTTTCGTACTTGTGATTGTTGGCTTTGCAGTTACTAATTGCATTATTATTAGTAGTATCTTTTAGATATCTCATTTTATCTTTATTTCACTCATCTGCTCGTAATTGTTTTACATCCTAGCCAATGTATATCATTTCAAGTCTAAGTAGTTTCGTTTAGAAACTGTCTCATTGCAATGTATGATACGACCGCGTTCTTACTTTCCTTCTTCAGACACACTATATGCAATATTTTCACTGACGGATTACAGCCAGGATGTAGTTAAGTTTTACTATCAACTGAGTATTTTAAACCAACAGAATGTGTAATATTGCACTAAACAGGGACTTGAATGCACTAATTAGGAGTATAAGCTTAGAAGGACGGTCATTAAGGCGGTGTGTGGGAAGTTAGTAGTCAGACCAACTTTTCTTTTGTGTTAAGTTCTAACAGCCATTATTGCGTTTGCTCTGTCTGTGGCCTTAAAGTTTTGATTTAAATCGATTACTGCATAATCAGATTCCAAAAGCTCGATTGTGTATCGAATGTCTATTCTTTCTGAAGTTATTGTCTGCGTTCTAAAACTTATCGTGTGTAGTGTTTCCTGTGTTGTGGTGGTCATTGAAAATGTCGTTCTAAACAGATTATTTTAAGCAAATTAGTTGTATTGATGTAAAAATGAAACTTAGTCACCTGGATAGAGTATATTTTCTTAATACAATAGTTTAAAAAAAGTTGATCAGTTAAACCTAGTTTTGCAACTAAGTAGCTAACCGAGCTAGGCCCAAAGCCATCTATTAGAGTAGGTGTAACTCTTTGGCTCAAGCAGTTAACCTGAATTCGAATCCCACATCTACTTCAACGTATGGAAGTGGGTAGTCTCATTAACCCTTACACAACAAGTTCCGCCCATACCATGGTGCATGGAATATCTGTTTTGGGCACATGAATTTTTACCAATTAAGGTTAGCCATTGGTACTCTCGAAAGTATAGACAAACTGTAGCGACATTATTAAAATATTTTGGCGATTCCAAGTGAGATGTCTTTTGGTTTAGAAGAATGTTCAGGTAGTAAAAACTGTTTTCGTCCAATTTCCTTTCTATTTCTTGACTTGCATCGATCCTTCCGATTGTATAACAAGTTCGCCAGTTTACGCAGGACTAGCATAAAATTACTCAACGGTTATAAAAGAATAGGCCGACTTGGCGAACATAATATACAAATGAGGTAGAAGTAGGGATTGCACCTGACAGCACTTGTTCTCTTTGGTGTGTAAAACAGATGATACGCCACTCAGAAAGTTTCAGCATTGCCTGAAACACTGAAGCACTAGCGCTAACTACGTTGCTGTTAGAACTCACTTACCAAGCACTAGGCTATGAGCAACATTTATTGCGTTGGGGGCTACTGATACTAAGTTGCCCAGGTTGAAGTAGGTGGAGCGGGGCTCAGACACAGGTCCCACTAACTGAAAGCCGAGTGCTTAAGCCAATGTGCCATATTCCCACAGCGTTAAGTACTCTAAAGCATAGAACTGTACTGTCGGCTGAAACCAGTCTACTTAACAAAACAGACATCTGAAGGGAAAGTCAAGGATTAAGTTACCCAACGTAAACAACTTGCTCTCGGCAAGTTTCCACGATGCATGTGAGACTCTTGCCAGAGAGCTCACTGGATTGTTTAAATTGTAGAAGATCAAGTCTTCTCTCCCTGAGGAGTAAGGTCATAATTGTATGTCACTAAAAAGGCCACTTGAAATATGTCATAATTATTAGGGTACTAGTCTGTTACAGATCACATCATAAATATTAGCTGTTTTCGACAAAAAGTAGCCTGGGTTCTATGCAGGTTGTAGATACACTAACCGTGTGCTTACTGGCTACTGATTTCTAGAAATTTGTCACACTTATTGCAGATTAACAATTCTTGCAGTTCTCGATGTTGAAGCTGTATTCGATTCGTAAGATGCGATTGCTCGTCAGAATTGTTTATTGGCGGAAGCTTATCAGCATATTGAGAGTATCGTACAAAAATACCTCAGGTATGGCGTAGACAAAGAATTGTCTCTTATGATTGCTCTAGCCAATATTGGTGTTAATAAGGGTTTCTTTAAACCTTTAGGTTGTCTTTTTGACCTTATCAACATGGATTTTCTTTGAATGCCAGGTTATGAATTCTAAGTCTTCTAATTATACAACTTCTTTTTACCATGCTGATTGTAGGTCGTTTGAAGTCAGAGATAGCACCAGCACTGAAGCATTTGAGTGCCGGTCTCATAGCTTCAGGCTGTCAAATAACTGAATTAGATCTCAGTGATAATGCTTTCGGACCGAATGGGGTTGTTGGTGTCACTGATTTACTTGCAAGCAATACTTGCTCTACTCTGAAGGTTAGTGCATTTTAGGAATGTTAAAGAAATACTAATAATTTTGCAGGTATTAAAAATGAACAACCAAGGTCTCGGGCATGAAGGATGTCGACATCTTACTGAAGCCTTAGAAAAAGGAAGGAATTTGTCTGGGAAACAAGGACTTTTGCTTAAAACATTTTCAGGCGGAAGAAATCGTCTAGAGAATGTTGGAGCTCAAATGCTTTCTAAAGTGTTCTGTGACATGGGCACTTTAGAAGAGGTATTCTCTAAATAAAATTTGTCATTATCTTTTAGCTTTCCCTTTATCAAAATGGCATTGGAATACACGGAATCGATGGAGTATTTTCACTAGTGAACATAATCAAGTCAAACTTAAACTTGCGAGTTCTAAATCTTTCTGACAATTCGCTTACTCCCCGTGGTGGTGAGGCAGTTGCACGCGCTTTATCATCATTAGTCAACCTAGAGGTGAGTTGCTTTTTTTCTATAGTACTGATTTTATAGTTTTTATTTGCTGAAGTGATGAATAATTATCTTTTTTCAAAATATTTCTAATTGACATCTGTTATTTTGGATGATCGTGTGGTTGGTGTAAATAGTATTGCTACTCAGTTCTCAGTTCAGTCATTAATGTCAACCTAGAATTTCACTTAGATACATGCAGTACGTTTCACTTCAGCTTAATAAGTCTCTTTGTCGAGCACTGCCCACCGTGAGGATGTCTTGTTAGCCTTAACGTGATCACATAGCCTTGTATGCCCCTCGGAATTTTTCATATTTAGTTTCAAAAGTTATACTGTAGTACATCATTGCAAGTTTCCTCCAACATAACATTCAAAAGTGGATGTAGTCTAAATAGGCAAAGATAGACTGGTTGTTCAATATCTGCCTTACTGATACAGTGGAAAGTACTCCAAAAGTTAAAGCAACAGCCTTGTGGACTACTACACCGCTTCAGTAACTCTTATATTTATGTATATTTTTATCATGATTTCCTAAAGTATTTGAGTATTTAACTATAAGCCAAACACTATTAGTCTTAGTTTTGCTTCATGTGTTACGTATGCCTAGTCATCGCCTTCCTCGACGGGCAATGTTAGCTGACATAGGGTCAGGCTGGAAAGGAGCTAGCGGCGGTCAAACGAAAACATGGCACCAGTCGATGAAATCCACAACAAATAGTTTAAGCCAGCCACGTAGGAAGGTGTAGACTTCCTGATTGGGGTCCTAGAGACGGTAAAAACCAATGGTTGGAAACAATTGGTGACATGGCTCAAAATCGTTCTCAATGGCTGGCGCAGATGCATCCATTCCTTGTGACTTATGATTTCCAATGAAACCATATTGATCTTCGTTACTACTATTTCTTTGTCTCTCATCTCTGTTTACTGTCTATATTATGCATTTCTTCTACTTTCTCTTGCTTTGTGTGCTACATGGAGTGTGGCGACTTGAACTGCCGCACATCGGTGCAAAGTTCTATGTCGAATACAGACAGTTTTGCTTCAGTATGCCAACCAATCATGTAGCTTGTATGTATGTATTTTCTTCAATCATGTGACTCAGTGAAATACTGTATTTTCTGCACTATGGTTTGCTTTTATTTCCTGATTTCGTTAGCGTTGAAAAAGACAGCATATATGACTGGTTGAAATCACTCTAGGCATCATCAGTTATTGATGCGGTAAAATGTTTAAAAACTCGACTCCTATAGCTTCTAGTTAAGTGTATGCATGGATGAGCTAAAAACCTCTCTTCATATGTGGAGATGTATGTGTATTCTTAATAGTAAGGCATTTTAAGATATAAAATGAGTCGTGACCAGTAGGGTGCAGCAGGTCGGGTGTGAGGACAAATACTCGCCGAAGACATTGGCTAGGGGTCGCGCTATGTCGTGAATTGGCAGAAGTTAGAATTCATGGACTGGCCATTGGATCGGGTCCCAGTGGCTTAGTGGTATACGAGCTCGCCTTGTAACCAGAAGGTCCTGGGTTCGAACCCCGGTAGATGGGTGCGTACTGGCGATGATTCCCAAACTAGGACGAAACAGCTATCCAGTACTCCCTGCAGGTTTTCCAGTGGTTCTCTAACTAATGTCAGCTCATGATGAAAATCCTGTAAACAATCAAATCCCTACAAACCAACATTTGAATAAAATGAGTCAGTCTGTCTTATGGTATAGTTTTCAAGAGTTTTTTTGTTGTTGTAGAGATTTGATTTGTTTCAAGTTTGATCACAGACTGATGTTAGTTAGACAACCAACCATTGAAAACCAAGGAATACTGGACAGCTGGTTCATCCAAGTTTCGGACTCATCGGCAGTACGCACCCACTACCGGAGCTTGAACCTAAGAGCTTCCAGTTACAAGGCAAGCTCGTAGACCATTCAGCTACTGGGACCCGACTCAATGGCCAGTCCATGGATTCTAACTTCTGTGAATTCGTGATTTTGGCGTTACTGGCACCAGTGAATATCATCGGCGAGTATTTGTCCTCACTCCTGACCGGGTGAACCTTTCTAGTCATGAATTCTGACTAGAACTCCATGCAACTTCGTCCTGCAGCCAGTCAGTAGCAAGCATCAGAAATTGGTAGAAGTTAGAATTCATGAGCCATTGAGTCGGATCCCAGCAACTGAATGATGTACGAGCTTGCCTTGTAACTGGGAGGCCTTGGGTCCGAAACCCAGTTGGTGTGTACTGCCGATGAGTCCCAAACTAGGACGAAGCAACTATCCAGTATTCCTTGTTTTTCAATGGTTCTGTCACTGATATCAATCCGTTATCGTGTAGTGTTTAATGGTTGAAATTTTCGATTGAATATCTATTTTATTCTCGAGGTGGATTTCTCTACGAATCAACCTCTAAAAACCAAGGACTGGTCGTCAAAGTGTTGGTTTTTCTGCTGTGTGTCCACAACCTCATCGGAGATCATATCTAGAATAGTCAGACTACGATATCAACGCGTTACCGTTGGATGATTAGATTGGGTTAGGATGACTTGATTTTGGTATCTATATCATACTTATTGGAGATGTGGTTCATTGGCTTAAGCACCTCGCAATGGGTCTTTAGTTTGAATCCCGCTCCACCTACTTGAACTTGGGAAGTTGGTTAGTATCATCCACCCTGGCAAACAATAAGTGCACGTAGTTCATAGCCCTGATTTGGGTAATTGATTTTTAACTAAATTAAACTGGAATTACTGTCATCTAGTGTCATCGTTGATGAGCCTTGTCGGTCGTAACTTCTCACCAAAAACTTTGGAAAATCCATTTTGAAGTTAATCCTTAATGCACAATGAGTAGATATTCAAACGGGAGCTGATGGGGGAATTTAATTGATTCCATGAATTGATATCAATTACAAAATAAGCTAATTGTCTGCTACCATGAACTTGAGCAATCAGTATCTTTCATACTTTGTCATTAAGAGCGTTATGTTGTGTAGGCTAGATAGTGTAGCAGTGAAGTTTCTAGTATATCTTACACAATTGCCTTAACAGACAGACAGCACAAATTTCAAGCCTTATTGGAGTATAAGGATTTCTCTAGAAATAGATTTTCGGTAGCTTGCTGTGGTCATTGTGGATATGTGGCTGATTAAGGTATGCACTAAACTTCCAACTAGCGAGAGCCGAGTTCGAATCCTGCTCCATCCTATTTCAGCCTGTGCAACTGAATAGAGTATCACCAGTCCTCACAATAAAAGTGTCGTTCATAGCTTGTTATCGGGTAACTGGGTTCTAATTGACTAATTAATCTGTTAACTTGGCATATTTGTAGCTAGCTACCTTTGCGATTGTACTCGCTTACTGACCTGATCGTTCATCTCGTGACTGTTTCCTGATCAATTTGATAAATGACCGACCAGTGTATGTTTGTATGAGTCTTTGAGAACCTGAATTCTTTGCTGCGAGGCATTGTTTTCGTTTCTGTTTCCAAGATTTGTTGAGTTTTTCATCCTTATTCATCTGCACACTAATACAGTCTCATAGGATGCAGACCTCCGGGTTGGGGCCCTCGGGACTCTAAGAATCAATGGCTGTAGACAATAGGTGACATGGCTCAAAATCGTTGTCAATGGCGCAGATGTATTCAGTCTCTGTAATCTTTCATATTCCTTTCTACCATTACTCATTCTGTTTCACTCTTATACTTGTCAAAACTCTATTGATTCTCTTCACTCATTTTCTTGTCTACCTTTGTGTGCTATTTGGAACGTGGCAACTCGAACTGGTGCACTTCGGTTCCAAGTTCTATGTTGAATCCAGACAGACAGACAGTCTCAAAGATGTGTCCTGAAATTTAGCCACTGGTTGCTGCGTATATTGACAGAGATGAAAAGGATTCACTTTAACCAGTGTGTAGTGTAGTGTAGTGTAATGATTCTCACGACTCCTTTATGTCTATCATTGTGGGAAAGTGCTGTAACTTCCTATTCAACTTATTTTTGTTATTGGGACTGTGTGAAAATAAAAGACGAAGATGTTTTTAAACAGAAGTGAAGTTTGGTTTTGAAAATTTTCTTTACAAATCATGTTTAACAACACAATATTTACACAATATGCATATTTCATTTACACAGGAATTGTATTTAAGTGATTGTATTCTTCGATCAGCTGGTGCAAAATCACTTGCTTCAGTATTTGAAGATCCTGATACAACTCCGAATCTAAGAGTTTTAAATTTAGCCGGTAATGAAATCAAAGCTTCAGCAGGGATCAACTTGGTCTTATCTTTGGGGAATAAATCACGCTTAGAATCACTGGATTTAAATGCGAATGAATTCGGTCGATCTGGTGTACGATCAATTATTCAAACACTTGATTCAGTTGGTCTCTTGCACACCTTACCTGTACCGAATGATAACGATGAATCAAGAGAAGCAGGAGACGGGGAAGTTGGTGATGAGGCATACCTGTGGGCATTTGATGAAGATCAAGGCTCTGATGGAGAGGATGAAGATGATGGTGATGATGATGAAGATAACGAAGCGAATGGGGAATATGATGAAGAATATGGAGATTCTACACAAAGTCAGTACGATGATGGTGAGGAAGAAGAAGAAGAGGAAGATGATGAACGTGAAAATTATGCGGATGTTACTCCAAATCAAAAAGAGAGTAAGTTTTTTTTTGTGGAGAAAATATTGCTAGCTTGCTAGACTGTTCTCAATATTATCGACTAATAATATGCGCATCGTTGTAGAGAATACCTGTACGTTAATATGTTGTGTAGTTCTATAAGTTGAAACCACACCCTATTATTAATTTTGGGTTCCTCGATGAATGGCGACTGACAGACTGAGTTTTAGCATGGAACTCTGCACGGAAGTGCAGCAGTTTAATTTACCATACTCCGTTTGGCCCACAAAGGTAGAAAAATAAGGGAAAAAGTAATTCAAAAGGACTAAAATGATGAGAAATGTGTGAAAGAACAATAACGTGGGGGTTCTGGGAGATTGCAAAGAGTGAATTCATCTGCGTTACGAATGGTCTCCAGTTATTGGTTCTTGGTATCCTGAGAACCGCAAGCAGGCGGTCTGCACCTCACTATGTGTCTGGTTCAAAAATCAGCTGTCAATGACATCATGATCTAACGTAAGCTTTTCACTTGATCACCCCTAACTCTTTCCTAACTTAATCGTATCGTAGCGAATATTGTTCGTCGAATAGTAGTGATTGAAGGTCCCCACTGGTTAGAAATCTATGACACCGGATTTGATGACCACCCACATTCTCATTTCACCTCCAGTCATCACCTACATTGCATCTGATGATATTTTGTGAATCGGTTATTAATTCTGTATTGTCTCCACAATCATCCTTTATTGGTATAGCACTGAGCATTCCATGCTATGCAAGATGCCTTTAGTTGAAATAATTAGGCAAGATGAAATTTTTCTTCTCACATGCTTTTTGTGCCTGTGGTTTTTTCTCACCTTCCTTCTACATTGATAAAATAAACTCAAGAAGTGTGGATTTGACTTCCACCCACTCTGTAGATGATTCTGAGATTGGTTTGCAAGTTCTCCTGGTGTCCAGAGTCACTTGGGTGTTCCAGAATAGAACTCTAAAGGATCTCTTTTCTCCTCTGTAAAACTATGAAGGTAAATCTTCGATAGTACGTTTGGACAGTAAACACTGAATACGGCTGACATACTTAGATCCAAACGAGCAGGTGAATTGATAGATACACATTGATAAGGTCAGAAGTGGTAGCTTATCCTTCAATGAGTATCAGTCAATTCACGTGCTCCCATAGAACTAGGCATATCGATCTGATGGATGTCCCACCTACGACATTGGTTGGGGTCGCACTTAATCATAAATTGGTAGAAGTTAGAATTCATGGACTGGCCATTGAATGGGGTCCCATTGGCTGAATGGTATACGAGCCAGCTTGCCTTATAACCGGAAGGTCCTGGGTTCGAATCCCAGTGGATGCGTACTGCCGATGATTCCGAAACTAGGTGGGTTAAACAGCTGTTCAGTACTCCCAGCTGGTTTTCAATGGTTCTCTAACTGATATCAATCCGTGATTAACTCGTAAAAACAAAACTAACCCTTACAAACCAAACTATAGAAGATAACTTCTTTATCAGGTTCTACAGTTACATTAGAGAGTGATTGTAACTAACATCAATGATGCTTCTTAACACCGAATAATTCAAATCAACATTCCAAGATTATTAGTAGATTATAGTTCATACATTCAAATTGGTAAATACAGTGGACACACATACCTAGGGAGGACTAATCGATCTCTGCAAATAAGGGTTGGCTTCAGAGCATATTCCTAAATGGCTCCAAACGCAAATAGAATCTTCAGAACCCGTTAATGGTGAGAACAAGAAGCCTGGCTCCTCTATTGCAAAACATATTATAGAGGAGACAGGACATAAAATTGATGATTACACGTCTTTTAAACCAATCTATAGAACGTGTTTGGGGCGTATCCTAAAGTTTGTGTTGGAAGCCCTAGCAATTAAGGAGTTCAAAAACAATTCGTCACCACACTAAACCTTCCTTGGTAAACTTTGTTTTGATACATACCATAGCAGATGTACTATTACCTCTGCTATTTGGTTTAGTGGTCTTCATTGTTATTTTGACCTTGAATATGTCCTTTTAACTTGACCTAATTGGTCTATTTTCTCACCTCTTAACTCTTTATTAATTTCATATATATTCCTATGACAAGTCCGTGTGTGTGATCAGATTGTTCGAAATATGTTGGGCAAATACAACACTATACGATTGAGAAAAATTACATCTTCTTATCGCTTTATCTAAATATAAATAAAGCTGTAAGAAGACAAACATAGCGAGATGATATCAATTGCATAGTTTCTTTACGATCGCTTTACAATTAGCATGGTAATAATAAATAAAGTGAACAGCAGAAGTTAGAATTCAAGGACCATTGGATCGGGTCCCAGTGGCTCAATGGTCTACGAGCTCGCCTTGTAACCAGAAGGCCATGGGTTCGAATCCCGGTGGGTGCGTACCGCCGAAGAGTCACAAACTAGGACGAAACAGCTGTCCAGTACTCCCAGCTAGTTTTCCAATGGTTCTCTAACTGATGTCAGCTCATGATGAAATCCTCCATGAAATCAAACAAAATCCCTACAAAATCAATACTTGAAAATAATAAATAACTCATAGAAAGAATCCATAAATACATACATACGCACATACATACATACAAGACGGAACCTCATACCTCTTAGGTATGACGCGTAACGCAGGGTTTAGGGATGTATAGATTCCGCACAGCAGAGGCCGAGTTAGCAATATGAAGTTTATAATCAGACTGAATAAAATTCAGTGTGGACATTAGTAGTCATGAGCATTCATCTCACTGTATACATTCCTTGTTAATTATTATGATCGCTTACTTTTGAAATCTGATGTTTACTTTAACGTTTTTACATTTTAACGCACATATTATCTCACATACACACGCATGTTTTGAACTGTAGTCGTCTACTTGCAATCAGCAATCTACACGCCAAATACTTCTTGGAATTTTGATTTGAATTACTCGGTGTTGTGTGTTGATTAAGAAAGATCATTGATGTCAGTTACAATTACTCTTTAAACTATTATCGAAAAATGTAACTGTAGAACCTGATAAGGAAGTTATTGAAAAGAGAGATAGAGACTAGTCTTTGTTTGCTTGTCAGTCTTTTGATACCTATCACTCAAGTTCGCGAGGTAGTTAACAGGCCATTATGGTGTACTTCTTACCCGATACCTTCTAATCGCCTAACATCAATGTTATCACCACATTTATCGCTCAGTGACTCAAAACAGATTTTTCGTGTATCTGGCTATTATTATTATTATTATTCTGCTGGGTTCCAACTGAGATATAGAGCTTCAACAGCACATCTTCATTGTCTTTTAAGACACATCGATTGGCTGGCTTGTCGAAGTCTTTCACCACCCGCACGTCATTCCGTCTCTCCGGTTCCAGTGAAGAATAAGTTTCATTATACAAAAGGTTTTCTTGTATTTCCCAATGAATGAAAAACAAAACGATATTGTCGGTTTTACTGACGGTTCGCTATTTAATGCCTCTGATAGCTTTATCAAAGTAGTAGTGTGGTGAGAGCTGGCTGCTAGCCAAAGTAGGTAGACAGTATTTAACGTCAATGTTTATGTCCCCAATATTGGTGGTGAGAAAATGAGAACAAAGGCTTTGCGTAGGCGGATACAGTTAGCATATGGATGATCTGACACAGCCACAAAGAGATGTGAGAAACAACCAATCAAAAGACTGTATTTTCTACTAACAATCATCTACAATAATGTACATTGAAATCTATAAATATGTGCTGATTTTCCTTAATAAACGATCTGTTGCTTAGCCCTTGTCTTCTGTTGTTAGAGTAGTATTAAATGAGAATTTACAAAATCCACTCAGCTTATATATAACAGCTTAATCATCGTTCCTCAGCATGAAGGCATTTCTGCCTTGTCAATTTGGCCAATTGGTAAAGATAACAAAACCAGGTGTAGATTGTTGGATTTGATAAGCGTGTAAAATTATACAAAAGCAGAGTGTGTTTACATAATGAAATCGCTTATCACATTCTTGTTTATTTCGTCATTTCATGGAGTAGGCGGGTGTTGTAACCAGGCCAAATTCTGTTTTAGTCCATCATTCCTATTCAGACAATTTGGATTCCACTTGATATGAAGTGCTTCTGATATTAGATATTCTTTGTGATTTCTGAAATGCTTTTTCTGGATTATTTCAACATTGTCAAAATCAATTTTGTGGCCTGATTCTATAGCGTGTAGACCTATAGCTGATGATTTTTCAAGCTTCTCTAGTTCAACTGGATTTCTCGCTGGTTGAAGAGATGCTCTACGGTGTTCATTTCTTCTGATTTTGATTTCTCGAAATGTTTGTCCGATGTATATCGTATCGTATTCCAAGCATTTTATTTTATAGACACAATTAGAGAATCTTTAGGGATTTGGTCTTGTATATGGACAAGGTTGTTTCGCAGTGTGCCTGATGTTTTGAAGAAAACTCTGATGTCGAGCTCATTGACTACTCTTCTGATATCGTCTGGAATGACAACTGAAGTCCATCTTTTCGGAATACGTTTTCGACCATATTTAATGTCAGTGTTGATTTTGTTGACGAAGTTCTTTGGGTAGTTGCTATGCTTGAGAGTTTCAGTAATGTTTGATATTTCTTCTTCTATTTCCTCATCTGTTATCAAAGAGTGTGTTCGTCTAGGAAGACTTTAAACAACTCATACTTTTGCGCTGATTGAGTGTGATGATCCGAAGTCCTAGTATTTATTGGAGTGGGTTTTATTCCTGAATGCAGATATTCTAAAATGTCCGTTTTCTCTCTTAACTAGGCAGTCTGATTCTGCCTGCTTCTGAAGTAAACTGGATTCTGGGAGATACACAGTTTATTTTCTCCAGGAATGAATCGTGTATATCTCGTTTTAGTACTACAAAAGTATCATCTACATATCTTAACCATATTTTAGGAGCGAGTATTCTTGAAAGGATGTTATTTTCGAAACTATTTATGAAAAGGTTCGCGACTATTGGGGAGACTGGTGAACCCATATCAACACCATTTGTCTGTCTATATAAATTCCCTTTAAATGTAAAATAATTACTTTCTGGACAGAATTTTAAGCTCTTAATTATTTCACTGGTGTCCAGTGGACATCTTTGTGATAGCTTTGTATCTGATTCTAGTAGATTGGAAATGATATCAAGACTTTCGGTAATAGGGATATTAGTATACAATGAGTTAACGTCATAGCTTACCATAATGTCTTCTTTATCAATTTCTCGGTGTTCTATTTGGGATTTGAAATCATATGAATCCTTTTGCAGTGGTTGTAGTGTCCCCCATGAAGTGACAAAATCAACACGCATGTGATAAGCAATTTCATTATGTAAACACACTCTGCTTTTACATTTTTACACACATCAAATCCAACAATCTACACTTGATTTTGATTTGGTTATCTTTACCAAGTGGCCAATTTGTCAAAGCGAAAATGCCTTCATGTTGAGGAACGATGATTGAGTTGTTTTATATGAGCTGAGTGGATTTTGTAAATTCTGGTTTAATGCTACTACTTTGATAAAGCTATTGCAGGCATTAAATAGCGTAACGTCAGTAAAACCGACAATATCGTTCATTCATTGGGAAATACAAGGAAACCTTAATTCTAATGAATATCATATACCCAATGCCCAAATTTTTTCAAACTGTTTAAAGTGAACTTGGTTTAAACACATATAGAAGAATAAGTTTTTTTTTTAAAAAAAGCTTTTTTTCATGTGCTTTAAAGTTTTTGTAGCAATTGGATTGATTTTCCGAGGTGGGGTTGCTAGTTCCACTCCCCAACATTCCCTTTTTTCTTGAGTGTGTTGGATCGGCTAGAAAACTGACGAACTAATAAACTAGGCGAGGTTGCTTGGCTATTTTAGCGTCACCCTTAGTATATGTGATGACTGGTAGTCATACGCTACGTAGTTCACCTGGTTGTGAAGTAAACAAGAGACGTCTACGAACCTGTGGGATACAGTCTCTGAAAACTGAGTAATGTTTAAGCCATTGAGCCAAATCTCCAAGTGAGACAAATAAATTCTCTCAATAAAATATCTTCACTGTTAACTAAATATTTTTTATTAAGATAATTTAATGCCTTGAGAAATTTTAATATAGATGGCATGACAAATTTTTTCTCAATAAGCATGCATGACTGTTTGATATTCCTTTTTTATCTTTTTGAGCCAAAAAAGAAAAAGAAAGGTGATTAAATTAAAGATAATTCCAAATGTTTCGACATGTCATATGATATGATACTTGTTTTGTCACACACAAATTTTATCCAAGATACCTATCATCAACATAAAATTTGTAAAAAAATATTTTAGACAATGGATTAACATTATTTTGACGAGAAATAATGTGAATCAGACAGACGGTACTAGGCAGGTTTTTTTCTTCCTATTTCAGCAGTGCATAAACAAGACTCAGTGATGAAATGCACTGCTTCTCGACCTATAGAGTTTGGAGGGGGGGGGCACGTTGTCATTACAGCGTCGAGTTACGGTGTAATGCTGACTGACTAATTGACTGATTGATTGAGTTTCAGTGTATAAATTTGCATAGAATTGCAGCAATTCAAGTGTTGCCACACTCCATGTTGTAGAGGTAGAGAAAAGGGAGAAAAATGGTTCAAACGAACCAGAATAATAGGCAAAAATGTACGGGAAAAAGAGAGTAATGATGGATATAGGAGAGTGATGAGCACATCTGAGTCACTCAGAGGGATTTAAAGTCATATCACCAATATCCTCCAGTCATTATTTGTCCTTTGTATCTGTCTCGAGGATTCCAACTAGGACTGTATGATACTATCGTCATTCAGTGTTATTGTTTTTACTGTTATTATTAGTATTTATCCATACCCCCTTGACTTGATTGATGCTGTCGACTTACTTAATGATATTCCATTCGATATTGATCCGTAATTAAAACAATCTGAGAGTTACAGGATTTCATCATGAGCTGACATTGGTTACAGAACCATTGGAAAACCTGCAGGGAGTACTAGACAGTCATCTGTTTCGTCCTAGTTTGGGACTCTTCAGCTCAAGATGAAATCCTGCAACCAATCAATCAAATCCCTACAAACCAATACTTGAATATATATGAGATGCTCACTGGCGACTAGCTCTATTCAGGTAGGTAGTTACCTGCGGTTCTATTGGGAAGTCATGACCAGTAGGGTGTGGCAAGGCGGGTGTGAGGGCAAATACTCGCCGAAGACATTGGCTAGTGGTCGCGCTATGTCGTGAATTGGCAGAAGTTAGAATTCATGCATCATTAGATTGGGTCCCAGTGGCTTAATGGTCTACGAACTCGCTAGCCTTGTAACCAGAAGGTCCTGGGTTCGAACACTTGAGGTAGGTGCGTACTGATGAAGAGTCCCGATGAGCTAGGACGAAACAGCTGTCCAGTACTCCCTGGTTCTCTAACCAATGTCAGCTCATGATGAAATTCTGCAACCAATCAATCAAATCCCTACAAACCAATACTTGAATCTGAGAGTTGTTTCTTTTTTCTATCGAAAACCATGCAAACAAGTTACTGAGGTCGAGTTGATATTCATTTCATTTCTTTAACTTCCTTTTTTCAGATTCAGGTGTAAATTTCAGCTTTCGTGAAGCATTCTCCAAACTTGAGACAAGTGGTGGTTGTTTAACACCTCAAAATGTTAATACTCAATTAACAAAGACTGGACCATTTGGTAAACCAGCGTTAGGTTTGTTTTCTGGTCTGTCTCCACAACAGAATACCGATACAACAGATGCTGGCCTGTGTCGGGCGAAGTTGTGGCCATCATCAGGTCCAGTGAATTTGTTCAGTGGTTTTGGCAATACTGGTACAAATGGAAAGAATTTATTCTCTCCACCAATTTTGTCGGTGAGCAAAACTCCTGATCCAGTTCCACCGAAGAAATTAGATGAAGATAAATTTAGGCAACATTTAATTGAAGCACTTTCTGATCCTAAAAATGAGATTACTAGGAGTCGTTTAATAGGTGAGTCATTTTTGTTATACTAGTATGTTATTATTATTATTGTTAATAGTAATCTGTATTAGTTATTCTTCGATAACTGTCATGGAGTGAAGATAAAGTATATCCCCCAAAATACACCAATTTGAATGAATAACTATTAGGATACGAGGAAAACCGAAACATCTTTGGATAGGTGGGAAAATATAGCGACTGAAACGTTCATCCCCACCCCAAAAGTATGGTGGAGGGAGGTATGTAGATGACACATTCACTGTACTTAGAACACAGGATATAGATAGATTTTTCGAACACATTAACTCAAAGATGGAGGCAGTTCAATTCACTTATGAATTGGAAAGTCAGGACACGGGGAAGGCTTCCAATGTTAGATTGTAGCGTAAAAAGGAAAGAAGATGGGAAGTTAAACACTAATGTTTACAGGAAATCCACACATCCAAACAGATATTTAGACTTCCGATCGTCCCATCCTATGTCTGTAAAAATAGGATTGGTGAAATGACTAAGTAATGGAGCACAAAAACTAAGTAGTACCAAGGAAAATATAAGATAGGAAATGAGGCATATAAGGCAAGCTATGAAACGTAATAATTACCCTGATAAATTAGTCAGGAAATATGTAGGGAAATGTAGAAAAAAAATAAAATAAATAATGATAGTGGTGATAATAATAATAGTAATATTAATGACGACGTACATATTAAACATGCACAGAATAATGACAACACCAACATTAAGGAATCTAAATTATCAGTAATACAATACTTCCATACAAGGAAGGAACCTCGGAAACCTTACTCAGAATTCTTAATAAGGCAGGAATGAAAGTGACTGGCATTCAAACCAACCACAGACTCAATTAGAAACAGGCTTTGTTGGTTAAAGGATCAGTCCTGTGGAGCTTTTAAAACAAAACAATTTCGTTTATCTAATACCCTGCTGGAATCATTGTCAGGTGAGATACATGGGTCAAACTAGTAGAACAGATGCAGTCAGACTAGTCGAACATAAAAATCTAGCAAAATCTAGATTGGTTGACCCGAATAAGATAAGAAATCTAGAGAATAGTTCAGCTATACCACTCACTACATGCAATCACACACAATCATACAATAGGATGGGATAGGATGACAATTTTAAAATCTAATGTCACAGGGTGAATGGAGAGAGAGATTGATAACAGAAGCTTTGTTGATCGAATGAACTGCAAACACGTGTAATAGGAATGATTCAGTCCAGTCGGAGATATGGAAAATCCTACTACCTCTACGACAAATAGGAGAGGACAAAGAAAACCATAAAACTCAAGTTTTGAAGTTGTGTGATTATGATTGATATAATTATGTAGAATAAATTTGGTTCGAAACGTCATCCAGTAAATAATACTGTTTGACTGTGTGATACATATAATAAACAAATTAATATAGAATTACTTACTACCACAGTGCCCAAGTTGTACACATATATTAACGAAACATCTTTGATGTAATAGGCCGCATATATATTAGCATACACGTTCATAGAAATGCAATTTTGTACGTTTAACTTAGAAGCCTCTGCTAGGTAGAGAGGTAGAGGTGTTCCACACAAAAGTGAAGGGAGAATGTGAACGTCAGGCGCTTTATAACCTCACAGGAGGACATGCTAATCTACCTAAGGGAGTTGCAAAACTCTGATTCCGAATCTCTCTCTCTCTCTCTCTCTCTCTATATATATATATATATATATATATATAATACAAAGCGATCGGATGACGCATTAAACTTTTTTGAATGCAGAAAACTATGGGAGTTCAGCTCCACTACCTTATGGATTAGACTTCAAGTCAAAGGCTGTGTGTGGGATGACCCATTACGACAATCATCCTCTGTCTTCGGTCTAGGCATCCGAGCAGTATCCCAGTCCCCCCCTCCCATACAATCTATCAGATTTTGTGTTTGGGCGCATCTCTTGGTGCTGCCCATAATGTACTAATTTGTGTTTCAATAATGACAATAACAATGAATATGAAATGTGTTTGTTAGCAGGAATTCGATTGGTTACATATCTGATCACTAGTTGCTGACTTCAGTTAGAGAACCATTAGAAAACCAGAGAGTACTCGACAACTGTTTCATTCTAGTTTATGACTCATCATCAGTACTCACCCACTGGGGTTTGAATCCCAGGATCTCCCAGTGGCCTTGTAAACGGAAGGTCCTGGATCCGTACTGATGAAGAGTCCTAGACTGGGATGAAACAGCTGTCTAGTACTCCCTGCTTGTTTTCACTGGTTCTCTAACTGATATCAATACCATGGCCAACCTTAAAATATGTATGTTTCATTTATTATTTTTCTTTGTTAAAAAATTAGATTTTCTGGGTTCAGAGGAATGCTTCAAACAACCACCAATCCATCCGGTAATTATGTTGTGCTCACAAACAGTATCATCAGAAAGTGTTGTTCGCCTGAGCTTGGCACTATCACGTAGTCTACCGTGTCGGATATATCCAGTCACAGGGCCTATTATGCAATTAGCTATCGGCTTATTAGCCTCTGTATTTACAGATATGTATAAGAGAACATCAACAGATACTAGTCGAACAAGTTGTGCAACTAATTGTCTTCTTGTGCATTTAGGCGCTGTCAAAGCAGAAAAAGATAGTGATGATTGGACTAACTGTTCACCGAGTGCTTTAAAAACATCAGTACAGTATTATTTTAAATTAACAAAAACTCTGATCGATTATTTTGGACCTCAATTAATTCCGAGTGTTTGTAATACTTTAACCGTGTTGTTATCAGAGCAACGTAAACGTGAATTACAATCGTCACCACCTGATCGTACTAATGCTACAACTGCTGCTACTACTTCGAATAGTATGGCTATTATTACTGAGACACCAGATTGTGCTAATATCCGTAATGATATTATAACCTCTTTAGAGAAGCAGTTGTCTTCTATGAATCTAAGACGTTAGTGTTAGTAGTCGAAGTGTGGCACTCGTAATGAAGGAGTACTTCTTCAAGATTTCTTGATACACTAATGCATTTTCGTCAGTTGGAGTTAATTCCCCCATCACCCCACCCAATCCCAACTTATTTAAATGTGTACAAAATAAAAAAATAATATTCATTCCTAGTGTATTCGTCTATGTCTATATTGTGTAAAAGTGTGTGTTGTATACTGATTGCAGAATTACAGTATAATAATTATAAAAGAGACTAGAAACACAGATTAAAGAAACAGATATATATTGTAAAACTGAACACTATTCATCACTACTCTCATCATCATCATCATTATCATGAATTATTGTCTCCCACATACGCGATGTGAAATTTGTTTCTTTTGTTTTAACTATTAGTAATTCTGTAAATAAGTAAATCAATCAGTTTATCGACTAATTAATTACCCTTTCTTGCTGTGTTTTGATCTTGTGTACTATTGATTTTTGTTATAATATCATTAGTATTCATTGTATTGAAATTGTTCTTTCTGCTATTATCTCTCAAGTGACCTGAGAAAAAACAAACAAACTGATGTGTGGGTGCTTATCGGATTACTTAAATTGATGCATTTCAGTAGCTTATAACACAGATCGTGAAGAAAAAAAAGAAAGATTATCAGTTATCGAAACTGATTATTACCTGCTGTGTCAATCGATGTAGCTGTATTACCTCATCGATGCCTGTGTCGACAAGTGGTGTCAGCTGATAGATAGGATTAGATTGGAAAAGATTTAAGGGTGATCGAATTAAGTCGTGACCAGTAGGGTGCAGCAGGTCGGGTGTGAGGACAAATACTCGCCAAAGACATTGGCTAGCGGTTGCGCTATATCATGAATTGGCAGAAGTTAGAATTCATGGGCCATTGGGTCGGGTCCTAGTGGCTTCATGGTATGCGAGCTCGCCTTGTAACCAGAAGGTCCTGGGTTCGAGCCGTGATCGGTGCGTACTGGTGAAGAGTCCAAAACTAGGACGAAACAGCTGGCTGTCCAGTACTCCCTGGTGGTTTTCCAATGGTTCTCTAACCAATGTCAGCTCATGATGAAATCCTGTAACTGATCGAATTAAATCGTGTGAGATTTTTTGGATAAATCTGACTATATCAAGAAGGTCACTGAACATATTAAGACGGGTCCATATGAGGAAATTGAAAAGTCTGTAGATACAATAATGAATAAGGTTAAGAAATCTACAGCGGAATCAATACACTGTCACTGGGTGAGTGTAAATGGTTTAATTTAATGCCTAAAACTAATAATACTAATAGACTGTATGGTACTATTAAAATACATAAGCCAGGTTATCCCAAACGACCAATAGTAGATTTTAGAAATAACCCCTACTTATGAATTATCAAAACAACACTTAGCTCTAATATTATGCCCCATTAGAAATCGTTCAAACTCTAGACTAACTAATTCATGTGAGATGAAAAATAAACTAGATGACATTCAACTAGAAAATGATGAAACAATGGTTAGTTTTGATATAACTAGTCTTTATACTAATATACCAATCAATATGGCGGCCTTAGAAGCAGTTAAAAAGAACTAACTGCAGATCCTGAACTCACTCATAGGACAAAGCTGCCCACTGAGGAAATTATTTTAGGAATTCAGTTATGCCTCACATCTACTATCTTTAAATTCCATGGCAAAATATATAGACAAACAGAAGGCGTAGCAATGGGACCACCAATATCCCTTATCATAGCAGATATCTTTATGGACAACTGGGGAAATATTGCTCTTAATACATTTAATTCTACTCCAAAAATATGGTGGAGATATGTGGATGACACTTTCACAGTGTTAGAAACAACATATCTCTAGCTTCATACATATAACTTCACTAGTGAAGGGGACAAAATTTATATTTGAATCGGAAAATGAACAAGGAGAATTAGCCACGATGTTGGATTGTAAAATAAAACGAATAGAAGAGGGTAAACTGCACACCAGCGTTTATAAAAAGCCAACTTTAATTCATCTCATCCGTCATTATCTGTAAAGGCAGGCCTAGTTAAGTGTCTAACAAACCGAGCAATGGCACTAAGTAGCACAAAAAAAGACCTAAATGATGAAATAAAACAGATAGAAGAGGCGTTGGTGTTAAATAACAATCCGATAAAATTCATTAGGAAGATCGAAAAAGGTCAAAAGCAAATTAAAAATGATCGAAGGTGTAGACCACCTTAATGGCATCCTCTCGATGCAAAGATCCAATGGCTGGAGACTATTAATGATATAGTTCAAAATCGTTGTCAATGGATGAGATGCATTCACTTCTTGTAATCTCCTAGATTCATTAAGTCCTCATGCTGGTGTTCTTTCTTTCTCCCAAAACATTTCTCCGGTCATTTTAGTTCTTTTGTATTTCTTTTTTTGCCGTTTCCTACCTTAGTGTGTTATATATGTAGTGTGACAACTTCAAGTGCTGCTTTCTTGTGCGCGAAGTTCTCTGTGTTGAAATCCAGTCAAATAGTCAGTATTCGTGTGTTAAGAGAAACAGATACACAAAAAATGGAAGATAGAAGAATGTTAGTGATGAATATTTATGAATTAGCACTGGAATACAGGATGCGCACTTCGTCCTATTTTGTACTCATCACTGGATGTGTTTTCATCCCCGGTGAGTAGTAGTAGTAGTGTAACAGGTAGAAGGCAAGACACGGAAGCCAAACTATATATTCCAATAATCAAAGCGCTGTTTATATATTGCATGGAGGATTTCATCATGAGCTGACATCAGTTAGAGAACCACTGAAAAACCAGCTAGGAGTACTGGACAGCTGTTTCTTCCTGGTTTAAGACTCTTCAGCAGCACGCGACCACCACAGGGGTTCGAACCCAGGACCTTCTGGTTACAAGGCGAGCTAGTAGACCATTGAGCCACTGGGACCCGATCCAATGGTCCTTGAGTTCTAACTTCTGCCAATTCACGACATAGCGCGACCATTTCGCAATGTCTTCGTCGATGAGTTACTGCCTCATCTTCAACATGCTGTACCCTACTGGTCACGGCTTCTCACTAGAACACCGGGTCACTGCCTGAATAGCGCCAGTCACTAGTGAGCATCAGATTAATTTTCAAGTATTGGTTTTGCAGGGATTTAGAATTCACGTGCCATTGGATCAGGTCTCATTACTTAATGGTACATGAGCTCGCTAGCCTTGTAACCAGAAGGCCATGGGTTCGAACCCTGCTGGTGGGTGTGTGCTGATGAAGAGTTCCAAACTGGGACTAAACGGCTTCGCAGTACTCCATACAGGATTTCCCGTGGTTCTCTAACTGATGTCAGTTCATGATGAAATCCTCCATGCAATCAAACAAAATCCCTACAAAACCAATACTGTTTACATATATATATATATATATATATATATATGTACAAGGTGGAGACGGGTTGTAAATTTTAATAATGACAACAGATAAAGTTTGCTCTCCACCTCGATTAAGGTGGTTTATGAAACAGAGGATTATAATTTTTTTCCTTTGAGTCCCCAGGTGAACTTCAATCTAGACCTTTGAAGTTCCAGTAGCAGTGGTGTTTTTTTTACAGGATAGAGTTGCTAGTCTGACGCCCAATCTTCCATCTTTACTGGGCTTATTCCTGGCTAAAGGAGTGCATCGGCCTGGGATAGAACCTCAGACCACTAGTGAGGCTTGCATCATGCTGTCTAGTATACCTCTCTTACTTGTACAGTCTTCAAAGTGAATGAAATAGTGTTTGTAGTCATTACATTTTGTCAGAGGGAGAGTTTTGCATTCCATTTACTCATCACTTGGAATACATTTTAGTCGAGGTATAGGGAAAAAAATCAATGATCTACTGGGAATGCTCAGATCAGAGTTTGGATATATTTAAGTTCCTGAGTGTTTAAAACGAACAACTACGCATGCTGCTCTTGAGTCCTTCAGATTCCTCTAAGTTCGATCGCGGATTGATATCAGTTTTGGAACCATTGAAAATTTACGGAGTTCCGGTAAGTCTTTTCTCCCTAGTTTAAGCATCTTCAGTCTGCATTCATGCTCCCATCAAGGGGCGATACCAGGGCTTTCAAGTTATCAGGTGAGCTCGTTGATTATTCAAGTCACAGGAACGGAACCCAATTGGTCTGTTAATTCGCTGCTTCTAGTGCGCTAGCAGCCTGATGGTGTGTAATCTATTCATGTAAATCACAATCAAGGTTAATTCCAAAGATACGAGTTGTTAACATATTAGCTGTTTTACTGGTTAATTCTAACCGGATTTCATTAGTCTGTTGTGTCACGTAGCCTGAGGACGACATACAGGAGATTGTATGAAGAGGAGATTAAAGCTTATGGGCAATCTTGGCGACGTGCTGTTGGAGGTTTTTATTCCACTTGCGAAGCGTGTTTAAATGAAATCCAGGAGATTCACATTTCAACTCTATTTGTAGAATAAAGTGCTTCGAATGTGATCTTATGAACACCGAACAAAACTTCTTGAGAAATCAAAGAAGAAATAAGCACCATAGAGCCTTCCTCTAAGCTATCATCGAGATATCCAATGGAACTAGAAAAGCTTGAAAAATCGCTAGGCAACGGTTTACCCTCTAAAGAATCAAGATCAAAAAACTGACTTTGATAATGTTAAAATCACTCCGCAGAATTTCAAAAACCCTACAGAATGTATCATATCAGAACCACTTTACATTAACTGGAATCTAGATTATCTGAAAAGCATTAACAATAACAGTTTGATGCTGGCTCCAACGCCTCCCCCTTCGTGAGTCGACGAAATCAATGCAAATATGATAAGCACCTTACACATAGACTTTTTTATAATTTATACTTATCAAATCCAACATTTTATATATGAGTGGTTAACTTCACCAATTCATTGACTTGACAATATCCAATCGTTTCGTACTGAAGAACTGTGATTAAGTTACTGTGTAGTATAGGATGAATGCGTTTATGTAGATTCTGTTTGAATATCACTTTGATAGAGCTATTAGCTGAATTGACTTAACTATGTATAAAATCATATAAGTCTTATATGTATAATGTGATGAAGAGAACTGCAACTAACTTGCATTCTTCTGTCTGGACATACTTTTCAGTGGTAGGAGAGGATGGTTCAACAAAGCTATCGGTTTATATAGGATGCCTACGTCTGAAACGACATGTTGCAATGTCATTTAGAAGACAGCTCTATGTTTGAAGTAGTATATGCTTAAGTTTATTGTAGTGTATTCGAATAGCCTAGTTATATGTCACTCACCTTTATTCGAAGCGTATGTCGACATGTAGTATTGTGGTGGTATGATACAGACAATGTGTGCCAACGGAATATTAGTCACAGTTCATTTCGGCATTACCAACAGAATGCGATATATCTATTTGAACATTCTATTTGATGTTAGAGTCGGAATGCTATTCCACTGTTCACTACTGCATTAGCAACAGAATACTATGTATACTTGAACATTCTATTTCTTGTCCTTTTGATGT